CAATAAAAAAAACTTCATTCATTAGCCTTCAGGACTGGCCACTAGGCCCCTGTACTGTTTATACTCTTTGAGACATAGTCTCCATTAAGTTGTCAGGCTGGCCTCAAGGTTCAAACTTAATTGTAGCTCAAGAGGACCTTAAATTTACAAACTTCCAGTCTAGGCCAAATGCCTAAGAAATCTAAAGGAGGAGCTGTTGAGAAGTTTCAGCAAGTCAAAGTGCTTGTGAGAAAACTCCAAGGAAACAAGAGTCTTGTGGCTTTGGTTTCTTCAAAAACAGGGAATTGTTCTTGGAATGTTTTCTCGTGACCTTCTCAGGTGTAACAGACAGGAGTGAGTTCACTTTAGATTACTGACTACAAATGGCTATTATTTGTTTCTATGCCTTTATGGAAAAACATGTTTTTGCCATGAGCAGCTTGTGACTGTGATTAATCAGGTGACCCTTCTTAACCCTCAGAGTATAAACTGTCTGATGCTTTAAATAAAATTGGCCATAGCATGAGACTTTCGTCCACCTCATTTTTAGGCTCCACTCTCCCAGGTTCATGCTGCCATCAACCTCTCTAATGGGAGGGAAAGATGAGCTATGACTACAGACTATGGCAACTAATGACTATGCACACAAATCTGACAAATTAGATAAATGCATCAGTTTCTTAAAAGCTACAAACCACCACTACATCAATAAGTAACAGACATGTAGATGAATATTCCTCTATCAAAGAAATTAAAATATTCATTAAGAGCCTTAATAACAACAAAAGAACAGTCACAGAATTATTTCCAATAGGAACAATTCACTGAATTCATACAGAAAAACTACTATATAATGTAAAGGTTTCCCCCCTTTAAATCTGTATTTGCATTCATTCCATAGTTTTATAATTCAAAAGTTAAGCTGTTTTGCATTTGTACTGATGGTAATTGAAAATACACACTACGTTGTATTCAACTCTTAGCAGTGTATCTTGATTTCTATACCACCTCTGCTTATCAAAGTAAATCAGATACTCTATCTGTGACGCTGAGAATTGAACTTGGAGCTTACATATGATAGGCAAGCACTCTCCCACTCAACTATATTCCTGTATGATTCTTAATTCATCTTTGCTCAGTAGTTAATCCATGCTCCAGATAACAGGGGTTTTACTAGTTTTTAAGAATTAAAAACAAGCTGGGCAGTGGTGGCACATGCCTTTAATCCCAGCAGAGGCAATCAGATTAAGTATTTTCCTTTCAAGATTCATATCTGTGGTGCTGGGGATCAAAGCCAGGTCCTTGGTCATTCTAGGAAAATACTCTACTTCCGAGTTATGTTCCTAAGTAACTAATTATTGCTTTCCGAGTATGCTCACACCTTAGGTTTGCAAAGATCTGTGAAAAAATCTCCACAGTAAGTTTGGTAAATGCTGAATGTACTGCAGAAACAGTTAAGTGTTGAAATGTTAAATGGGAGAGACAAAATTTTTAAGATCACTTCATTCCTTTGTTCAGGGTTCTCCTTACTCTTTTCCCTCCACTCCAGCCACACTGGGCTCTTTACATTCCCTCGGAAACTGTTCTCCACGACCAAGTGGTTCTCAAATACACCCACATGGTTCGGCTTCTCATCTACTTAACTGTCTTCACAAACTGGACTTTTCTCACCACCTCACTGAACAGCACTGGAAGGAATGTGTTTTTAACCCTTTGTTAACTGCCTGTGGTCTTCCAACAGGATGTAAACATAAAAGTGGCAGCTGTTTTAGTCACTGCTGTACCTGCAGAGCCTAGGACAAGCTCTCCTAAGACACCCGCAACATAAAATGTGTTAAAATTCCTGCAGTTTACAACTCTTGAGCCTAGCCCGCGTGGTGGCACACGTCTTAATCCCAGTGCTTGGGAGGCAGCTTCGAGGCCAGCCTGGTCTATGGAAGGAGCTCCAGGACAGCCAAGGCTATACAGAGAAACCCTGTCTCGAAATACAAAACAAAATAAGGACCTCTGCGCCTGAAACAAGTATTTCAGGAAAATAAATGTATGTTTATACATGTGTATGTATGTTTCTGCTGTATACGTGCATGCGCACGCATGTATGTCTAAGTCTCCCTGTGTGTGTCTGTGTATTAATGAATGGCTGCACACTATGGAATTCCTAAGACAAAACAACAGAGCTGCGGCGTATCCACGATGCAATTCCGGGGTTACGGAACGCACACAAGCCGTTCTGTCGCCTAAGCCCTTTCCCCAGCAGTCCTCGGGAGAGACGGGAGGGCAGTTGACCAGCTCGTGACCAGCCAGGCTGGACTCGGAGGAGCGCGCTCCGCTGGGCGGCCCGCCCGCTCCTCCCCACGCCCGGCCCGCGGCGCGCTCCACCGTCCCCGGCAGGCCCCGGCTCACCCGGTTCCCGGTTGATCTCGATGTCGAAGTGGCACTGCGGCCGGTCCTGGGCGCCCATCGCGAGCGCGGCGGCGGCGGCGGGAGCTGCGGACAGGGAGGAGGGCGCTGAGGGCGGAGGAGCGGGGCGGGGCGGGGCCCGGTGACAGGGGCGCGGCCGCCAGGAGGCCGCCCGCCGCCCGCCGCCCGCCCCGGCCGCAGGCTCCCGCACTCCCGTGGAGCTCCTCACCTGGCCGCACAGCTCCGGGTCAGCGCAGGAGAACGCCCTGCCGGCGAGCCCAACGTCACCAACGGAAGGCCACCTCCTGCCGGCCGGGGCCAGCAGCCCAGTGCCACGCCAAAGCTCGCGAGACTGGAGGCAAATGTCGCGAGAGTCCAATCTCGCCGAGGGACGGCCCTTGTGCCCCGCCCCTCAGGATCAGCGGTCCAATCCCAAGTCCTCAGCGCTGTGCGAGCTGTCAACCACGGCTGGCGCAGCATCGCGAGACTTCCTGGTTGTTTGACCAGTGAATGAGCGCGCTAGTGAAGCCGGGGTTTCCGGAGCCGACGTGGCGTTTTGGCTTCTTCTTCTTCTCGGGGTTGATATGAGTTTCCATAAATTTCCGTACGCTGTTTGTGTCGAGTTAAAAGACTCTTGGATGCCAGGGGTGGTGACGCACACTAATCCCAGCACTCAGGAGGCAGAGGCCGGCGGGTCTCTGTGAGTTCGAGGACAGCCTGGGCTACACAGAGAAACCCTGTCTCGAAAAACCAAAAAAAACAAAAAGAAAGAAAAAGTCACGGATGTGCCTCACTTGTGCCTGCCTGGCTGAGACAAGAGGCTGGCCGCCAGCTTGAGGCCACCCTGGATTACTGAGACTTTCTCAAAAAAAAAAAAAAAATGAAACCAAACAAAAAGCAACAACAAAATCCCAAGCAAAACACAAACCATGGTTTTGCACACCTCTTAAGTGAAGTTCAAAGTCATCCTGAGCTACATAACAAATACGTGCGAATTTGAGGAACCCAGACCAGGTGGCTGTAGCGATGGCGGCGCAGCACTGGTTGCAGAGGAACTGGGTTCAATCCCAACACCCACATGGTGGCATACAACCATCTGTAACCCCAGCTCCAGGTCCCATCGAGTTCTGACATCCGTGGACACAGGCACGCACGTGATGCACAGACATACGTGCAGGCAAAACACTCATAAAGTAAAACCTTAAAAAAGGAAGAAGTCTGTCTGTGAGTGATAGCACACACCCTTTAAATCTAGCACTCTGGAGACAAAGGTGGATGTCTACAAGACTGAGGTCAGAGGGGCAGAGTCGGAGCAACAAGATGTCCGCAGACCGGTAACACCACAGTCACGTGGCAACATATAGTTTTATAGAAACGGATTAATTTAAGATGAAAGAGCTAACTAGCAAGAAGCTGGAGCCATAGGCTGTAGGACTTAAAAGATCTTAATAAAAACAAACCCGGAGCCAGGTATTGGGGTATGCTGAAAGATCAGAGAAACAGAACCAGCCACAGCTAACCTCACCTCGCCTAATTTTTTGTCTGAAATTAAAAAAAGCTTATGACTAATACAAGGAAAACTATATCCAATTGTGGGAGCCCGTTCCCAGGTTCCTCGTGGCTTTACCCAGCAGGTCCGCATAGAGGATGATTAGACCACGGGTCTGAGTGCAGGTGTCTGAGATGGTCTGCACTTGACTGCTGGGGGAGGAGGTCTATTGCTCCACCCCTTGGCGTCTCTATAAAAACCCTGGGGCAGAAAACAGTCGGGGCCGGTTGGAATAGATTCCAGGCCCTCTCGAGGCTATCCTTTATTTTCTATCTGTTTATCTCCGCGATATTCTCCGCAATAAATCCTTCTATCTAATATTTCCTGCTGCTCGCACTCAAGAAAACTCTGGGGAACTGTGGGGGTGGTTGGGTAAACGCCCCACATCCAATAAGTATATACAATATATATAGTCAAGAATTACATTAAAAATGTCTAGTCCATTAACATTTGACAGATTCAGACAAAAAATTTCATTACTTATCCTATGTAAAACAAGTAGTTCATTTTTAAAAGTTGATTCAGTAATCTCCCTTTTTTTATCGTATCCATATTCTCTTTTTTTTTTAGGGTAGATTCAAAAGTCTACCTTTTATCCATTTCTATATCTTCTCTTTTTTTCAGAGTAGATTCAATGTTCTACCCTTTTCTATAATAGGCCATACAGTTTGCAATTAATATAAACCTCTGAGTGATTATTTTATAAGCAGCTGTGGGACCTCGGGTGGGAGAGATTCGTCCAGACTGATGGGCAAGCAGGACTGTTATAGATTTCCTTGGTAACAAATTCAGAAAAGAAATGCACTAAAAAGGTGTAAAGTGTATAAGTTTGAAAGACATCAAAAGATAGTTTTGGGTTGGTGATATAAGTTAGGATAGAAAGTGAATTAGGTACAACATTTTGGACTCACCAAAATAGGATAAATAATGGAGTATTTTCTCTGAATGTGTCAAATGTTTATGCACTGGACATTGTTAATATAATTATTGACTGTATATATTATATATAGTTATTGCACTTTTGTATATAGTTTTTCTTATATTAGTTATAACCTTTTATTATTTTAAATGAAAAAGGGGAAATGTGGTGAAATATTGTGTACCCTAATAAAGCTTGCCTGAGGATCAGAGAACAGAACAAGCCACTAGATTAAACATGAAAACCAGGCAGTGGTGGCACACACCTTTAATCCTAGTACTCAAAGGCAGAGATCTGTCTGGATCTCTGTGGGTTCAAAGCCACCCTGGACTACATGAGATTGACTCAGTCTAAAAGAGAAACAGAGCCAGGCAGTGGTGGCACACACCTTTAATCCTAATACTTGGGAGTGACACTCCTTTAATCCTAGCACTTGGGATCTCATGGCTTTGCTACCAGTATTTGAGAAGCACACATGCCATAATCCAGCACTAGGAAGGAAGTGAAATGGCTGGGTGGAGAAAGGCATATAAGGCCTGAGGAGACAGGAACTAGAGCCTTTTGGCTGAGACCTTTTTGGCTGAGGACTCAGAGGCTTGCAGTCTGAGGATTTGTGTAGATAGGATCTTGTCTCCATTTTAGCCTGAGGATTTCAGCAATAGTAAGTTTCTCTAGTGGCTTGTTCCTTTGTCTCTCTGATCTTTCAGCATTTACCCCAATATCTGGCTCCGGGCTTTTCATTATAAGACCATTGAGGATGGTATTATTGTGTCCTTGTTTACTTCAGGTTTCAGCAGTCTTGTTGGTGAGATTTATGGGTGTAGCTTCTGACATTACTAGGGGACAATCTCACAACAAACTCCCAGATTCTCTCTCTTACAGTCTTTCTGCCCCCTCTTGGGCAAACATTCCCTGAGCACTAGATGTGGGAGTTGTTTTGTAGATGTAGCTGTTGGGACTGGACTCCACATCTTGATTGGTTGTAGTTTTCTGCAATAGTCTCTGTTTATTGTAAAGAGAAGCCTCCTTGATGAGGGCTAAGAACTACATTTATCAGGGCTAGCCCCTGAAGAAAAATGTCTCCTCTGACCAAGTTTGTATTTTGGTGGCCAGTCGACCCAGCTTTTTGTTGTTTTTGTTTCTTTCCCTGGAAGCTGGGGATGTAGCTCAGTGGTGCAGGATTAGAGCGTGTGAGGTTCTAAGTTCCATCTACAGCATGGAAGGGAGAAGGGAAGCAAGGGGGAGGGAGAGAAGAGGACAGAGAAGGGGAGGGAAGAGAAAACCGATGTATCAACTTCATGAAAACTTTCTCCTGTTTTCATCTGGGAACTTAAGTTTCTCCTTTTATGTTTAAATCCAGTCTTCAGAAAACCGTTAAAAATTGTGATAAGGATGCTGAGGTGTAGCTCTTCAAGGTTGACGGCTTCTGGTGGAGGTGGGGGTAGGGAAGGGCTCAGTCTTCTCTAAGGGGCTGTCCACTGGGAGTTTGACCATGCCCAGTGAGTATATGCGCAACACAAAACAGAACTTGTTTTTTCCTTCTGCTGTTTTTGGGAAGGTCACAATGGTTGGGGGCAGACCTGGGAGGACTGGAGTGAATGTGATCAGAGTGCATTATGTGAAATTTCCAAATAATCAATACAAAATTACATAATAAATCAATCAATCCAGTCTTCCTGTGTCACATAGAATGGGATTAGAATCTTGGAGGCCTGCCTGTGTTCCATAGCCATTTGTTGAAGACTTTTGTTTTGTTTTTTTGAGACAGGGTTTCTCTGTGTAGTTTTGGTGCCTATCCTGGATCTGCTCTGTAGACCAGGCTGGCCTTGAACTCACAAGAGATCCTCCTGGCTCTGCCTCCTGAGTGCTGGGATTAAAGGCATGCGCCACCACCGCCCGGCCATACTTTGTTTTTTATTTATGGCTAATACTATTTTTTTCAACCCATAATTACTTGGATTTATGACCACATATGATTACCAGTGCCACACTGCCATTTTTAAAAAATTGTTGTTTTATAAAATTGTAAAGCCTGCATTATATTATCGTTACCATTTCTAAGTGCAGTTCAGTGGTATGAAGTACATTCACCTTATGGCACAGCCATCACCATCAACTGACTCAGAAGGTTCATCTGGCAGAACTGCAACCATGGCCCTTCAAAAAATCATTTCCCTCTCCCCTTCACCCTACTCTGCACAATACCTCTACTTTGTCAGTTTAGTGACTGTTTGTCTCCTGTTTGTAGAATCATGTTGTGAAGGTCTGTTTTGGTTATCAACTTGACTGTATCTGGAACCAACTAGAATCCAAGCCGCTGGGCACCCCTGTGAAGGATTCTTCTCATTGGATTATTAAAAGAGGAAGATTCACCCTAACTGCGAGCCACACTTTTCTTTTTCCAGATAAAAGGACCTGGAAGGAGACTCTGACCACTCACACTGTCACTGCTCAGTTCACCTGTCCTTTGCTGGTTGATATGAAAACCAGCTTCTTTGTGATTCCAACACAGACTGATGACAGCAGCTCTCCAGGGTAAGACGGGGATTGCTGAGACAGCCAGCCTCTTGGGGTGAGCAACTAATAGATTTTCAGTCTTTCCAGGAAGGGAGTGAGCCAGTAGGCCCCAGTCTCCCATAGCCTTTGCTTCAGTTTCTGCCCTCACTCCCCTTCATGATGGACTATGACAGGATGTTTAAGCCAAATAAACTCTTTCCTCCACAAGCTGCTTTTCATCATGGTGTTGTATCACAGCAACAGAAAGCAAACTGATACATTTGGTGTCTATCCTTTATGGCTGGCTTCATAACTTAAAGGTGAAATACCTTTAAATTGCATCCATGTTGTATATCAAGCTTTTAAGTGGAAGGAGTCAAGAAAGAGTGATAGAAGTGAATATGGTCAAAATGCATTATATATATGCATGAATATGTCATTGTTCTCTGTGAGTTTGAGGCCAGCCTGGTCTACAGAAGGAATTCCAGGACAGCCAGGACTACACAGAGAAACCCTGTATTGAAAAACCAAAAAGAAAAAGGCACACACCTTTAATTCTAGCACTTGGGAAGCAGAGGTGGGTGGATCTGAGTTCAAGGACAGCCTGGTCTACAGAGAGAGTTCCAAGACAGCAAATGCTACAGATTGAAACCCTGTCTAGCAAAACAAACAAACAAACAAAAGAAAAAAAAAGAAAGAAAATATTGTTAAACCTATTTTGTATATGCTAACAAAAACATTTTTCCTTTTGCAGGGTCTCATGTGGCCCAGGCTAACTTTGACTTGCTGCCTCTACTTCCCAGGTGTGCCTAGTGCTGGTTATTCAACTTTTTTGCCTCTCAGCTCTGAATGCACCCTTTGCTTGATTCTCTGTAATGTGTAATTCAGCCTTAAGCAGGGATACTTGCTTCAACCTCTCTCCCTGAAAAGAAACTTTGGTATTTTTTATAACCCAGGAGAAGAAAAGAGGTGAAAGAAAGGCGAGAACAGGGCTGTGTGATGGCATTAGCTGATTACAAAGACGTTTTGGGATACTGAAGAGAAGTGTACATCATTGTTGTGGGATATTTGTACACTGTGTGAAGATATATTGCTGTGATTGGTTCAATAAAGAGCTGAACAGCCAATAGCTAGGCAGGAGATACAGGCAGGACTCCTGGGCAGAGAGAAAGGAAGCCGATGAATCTACTTGTCCAAGAGACGCCAGGAGACACAGAAGAAGCAGTACGTGACAGAACGTAGATTAACAGAAATAGGTTAATTTAAGTTATAAGAGCTAGTATGTCGCGTCCGCCTCTCGACCAGCAAGGAAGACGCGACGCCAGGCTCTTCTCCAAGCAGTTTATTCAGGAACCTTGAACAATCTTCTGACCCCGGGGAAAGCCGCCGCCTTCTTCTTCTTCTTCTTCTTCTTCTTCTTCTTCTTCTTCTTCTTCTTCTTCTTCTTCTTCTTCTTCTTCTTCTTCTTCTTCCTCTCTCTCTCTCTCTCTCTCTCTCTCTCTCTCTCTCTCACTCTCACACTCACACTCACTCGCGTGTGCCCTCTCAAAAGCCAGCCCACGCCCTTTATAGCCACTGGGCAATCAACCCCGTGGTGCCACGTGGACAATGCCACTAGGGTCATACGCAAGCAAGCCAGATTAGGTCCAGGTGTGCGGATCCTAGCCTTAGCCAAATAAGGAGCATCTGCCATCGGGAAGGCAGAAGCCAGATGCCGTGCCATCTTTGAGGCACGGCCGTGCACGGCTCTCTACACTAGTAAAAAAAAACAAAAACAAAACAAAACAAAAAAAAAACAAGCCTAGGCTAAGGCCAACCTTTCATAAGTCTCTCTGTTGTTATTTGAAAGCTGGCTGGTGGGACAGAGAAAGACTTGTTACACATCATTTATTATTACATGATATCAGAGTTAAATTAAGAAGCACTGTTGATTCTGGTGATGTGGTATTGCTGTCACATAACTCAGTTTAGTTTTCCAGTGGGGTCTGCTTTATTACTAAAATATTTACACTTAGAATATAGTACAGTTAGCAGCAACTTTCTTCTCAGTCTAGAAAGAGCCACAGACTTCTCACCCAAGTGGCTCAGTTACTAACAATTCTGTCTCTGTTTCATAGGAGATGGGTTCCATTCCATCATTCCGCATCAACAGCCTCCTAGAAGATTATTCCACTGCCTTTGTAAGGCTGCCTGTGTTGGCATCTGCGATGGTAGCTAAATAAATGAGATTTCTATGCAACACATGCTGGTACCTATGAGTGAGAAACAAGAATTAGAGGCTCGGGTTTTTGTTTGGGTTGTTTTTTTGTTTTTTTTTTTTTTTGGTTTTTGTTTTTCGAGATAGGTTTTGGTGCCTGTCCTGGATCTCACTCTGTAGCCCAGGCTGGCCTCGAACTCACAGAGATCTGCCTGGCTCTGCCTCCCGAGTGCTGCGATTAAAGGCGGTGGTGGCGCACGCCTTTAATCCCAGCACTCGGGAGGCAGAGGCAGGCGGATCTCTGTGAGTTCGAGGCCAGCCTGGACTACAGAGTGAGATCCAGGAAAGGCGCAAAGCTACACAGAGAAACCCTGTCTCGAAAAACCAAAAAAAAAACAAAAAAAAAAGGCGTGTACCACCACCACCCAGTTTAGAGGCTTGTTTTCACTCACCTTGCAAACTAGAAGAAAACCTACCCAGTGTGGTGGAATGCTATTCCCTTGACTGAATGACACAGGTCACCAACCTTTTTTTTTACTTTTTGATTCACCTGCCTCTGCCTTCCCAAGTGCATCAACACACCTCACTTCACCAACCTTCTTGTTTAACTTAGACTCTCACCCATTCTCACTTATCACTCACACATATGTCCTCCAAGCAAAAAAGTCATGGTTGCTTGATCTAGAGGACACAACCATGACTTTTTTGCTTGGACTACAATAGTAGTTTCCTCACTCCATGGTTTATGATGAAGCCCTGCTTTATTCCCCAGAGTTGGAATGGTCACAGCACAATTTAAATCAAGATCCTGTCGTAACTGTTCTAAACCCCTCTAAAGATGCCATCTCATTCCTACAAGGTCTTAATGTAATGGGGGTCTCCAGTTACTTCTGTGTTCTCCTATGGCTGTCCCTTTGTTAAGTTCTAAACACAGAGCCTCCTTGATGTGGCCTGAGGGTATTCAGCACCTTTATCCTGCCTTACTTATCTCTGGGGCTCAAGGCTTCACTCAATGCTACCTTATTAGAGACTCTGCCCCCTACCATAACTTACCCTACTTGATTTCTGCGGGGTTGGAAATTGAAACCTGAATTTCCTGTTCATGACAGGCAAGGTGCTCTATCACACCCCGGCCCCCAAATGCTTTTTATCCCATTCAAAGCACTTATTATTATATAATCTCATTATATTTGTTCCCTCTGGATTCTGTGTATGAGTGTTTTGCCTGCATGTATGTATGGGCATTACATACATGCCTGGTGCCCGGAGTTACAGATGGTTGTGAGCCACCATTACTGGGAATTGAACTTGGGTCCTCCGCAAGAGCTACAAGTACTCTTAAACTCTGAGCCAACTCTCCATCCCTCCCTCTGGATTCTAGACTCTAGAATGTCAGCTCCACAAGAGATTTGGAGTCTTTTGTGCTTCTTACTCCCAAGTACATCAAACACTGAGTCCTAGTCCATAGTACACCCGGCACTCGGGAGGCAGAGGCAGGTGGGTCTGAGTTCAAAGTCAGCCTGGCTTATAGAGCAAATTCACAGGGAAACCTTGGGGAGAGAGAGGAGCCCTTTCTTATGATCAAGGCAAGCATAATTGCTTGCCATTCAGAAAGAATCATCAGACTTGGGAAGTGCAACCTTCACAATGTGAAAAAACAGGATAGGAGATTTGTAAAGAATCAATCTACTAAAGAAAAATGTGCGGCAGGCATTTTCTAAAAATGAGAAAGTGTTTACTATAAACTGTAAAAAAGTAAACCACCAAATGTTGGAGTCAAACATAAACACCTCAGAATGGAAATTCTCCATTGAGGTACTTGGAGAAGGATTGTAGGTGACTAATTGTTGGACCAAATTTAGAAAAGGGTCTCAAATTCTGTTTCTTCTCATTCTGATATCCCATAAAGAGCACATTAATTCTATCCAGAATTAACCTTTGGTTTAACATGGAAATCTCTTTGTTGGTTGTGCATATCTTTCACAGACTGACTGCTAGTTAACCAAATGCCCTGACTTACTTACTGGGAATGGACGTAAAAGCCATGAATAAAGAGACTGTGGCTCTTATCTGAGCCTAGCTTTCAGATGCTTCGCTGTCATCAGCTGACAGGGTTTATGTGAAACCCTGAATAAGTTCTACCATAAACTATATGGTCTTGAGTAGTAAGTAAATAACCTAGAGAGGGCAGGGGGCACAAAGTCTTGCTATGTAATCTTAGCTGGCCTTAAACTTGTGGCCATCCTTGGGCTGCAGCCTGACAAGTGCTAGGATTACAGGCATGCAGCGCCACTCAGGCGAAGTAACTTCTCATGTGTCTTTTCTCATCGGCGACCCATCACCCAGACTGCCGCACGTCCCCAGTGGCACTTACTGGACGCACTCGTTCGCTCGGCCCTTGTTCTGATACTCCACGATACAGCGGATCAGCTGGTCATTCTCCTCCAGGAGCTGAAAGGAGGGCGAAATTGCAGGGTACCATCAGGTACACCGCCCCCGCCCCGCCCCCGCCAGCAGGCGCCGATCTGACCCGGGCCCCCATCCCTTCCCACCACGGCCCGGAAGCTGCAGGAAACTCCTGCACCGGGACGCTCACCCGCTGGATGGTCTCCTGGTTGACCTTGGCCTTGCCGCGAAGCCAGTCAGGGGCGAAGATGACCGACATGCTGTGAGTTAGGAATCCCGAGCCGGGAGCTGCACGGTCGCGTGCTACTGACGCGAAGCCTACGCCGCGGGGTCCGTCCCCGCCCTAAGGAGGCGGGGCGAAGAGAATCGACGACCATTGGAAGCGCTGCGGGGCGGGGCGGGGCGGGGCGGGGCTTGTGATTGGACGGACACGAGCTCGCGGACCGGCACTTGCGGAGTCTGTGACGCTCCTCTGGGGACCGGACTTGGCGACGATTGACAGCTACGGGCTGACCCGCCTCTCCCGCAGCCCGGCTCCCCGTACCTTCCTGAAGAAACTAGTTCCAGAGCAGTGAGAACTGTGGGTGTTGCCTCCAGCCAGCTCAAACCAGAAAGCACGGATAATAGATTTCCTGTTAGCCTGGATAATACTTTAATATGCCTAGATTCTTTCCAGACAATAAGAAATTGAATATCAGGAGCTAGTGGTTAAGAAACTTAACTACTCTTACAGAAGACAAGAGTTTGATTCCAAGTATTTATGTCGAGTGGCTCACAACCACCTGTATGTATCTTCAGCTCCAGGAGATCTAACGCTCTCTTTTGACCTGCCTGGGCACCCACATACACGTGCACATGAGTAAAAATTTGTTAGGAAATCGTACTAGCTACACAGAGAAACCCTGTCTCGGAAAACCAAAGAGAGAGAGAGAGAGAGAGAGAGAGAGAGAGAGAGAGAGAGAGAGAGAAAGAAAAAAGAAAAGAAATCGTTCTAATTGCTTGTTGCAACCCTAAAAAGAACTAGTATTTTCTCCATTTTACAGATCAGAATATAGATGCATTTCCCTGAATCCTATTGGTCAAATGACCGCCAGACTCTGAGCCTGGGCAATGTGGCTTTAGAACTTCATTTAACAGGGAGATCTTGAGGGACTTCCTAGAGTTTCGTTTCCCTGCCCTAGAACAGGTTTCCCCTACCCCCTTTCAGGCTTGTAAGACAGCAGCTTCCACCTCATTTCCCAGCATGAGGCTTCAGCTAGAGAAGTTGGGGTGACCTGCCTGAGTGGGGTCAGGACTCAGAGCTCCTTGCTTCTCAAGTTCTGACATCAGGTTCTCTTCCCCACAGGAACCTCCCAGAGATTCTGCAGAAGACAGGATGGGCAGAAGCAGAGCCATCAAAAACAGGATGGAGCCGGGCGGTGGTGGCGCACGCCTTTAATCCCAGCACTCAGGAGGCAGAGCCAGGCGGATCTCTGTGAGTTCGAGGCCAGCCTGGACTACCGAGTGAGTTCCAGGAGAGGCGCAAAGCTACACAGAGAAACCCTGTCTCGAAAAACCAAAAAAAAAAAAAAAAAAAAAAAAAAAAAAAAAAAAAAAAAAAAAAAAAACAGGATGGAGACCTCGCTTTATGCCACTCTGCCTTTAACAATTCTGATTTTTAGACAGTGGAGGAATGGCGTTAGCAGGAGATGGTGTTGAGGGGGGCAAGTGCAGGGGATGGACAGTGACCCAGCCATTGAGGAAAGACAAGCCCTCCAGGGCAGGAGACGTCTCAGCGTGAAGATGTGCAGATTACAGAGATGATAGGGCTCAACTCTGAATTTGGCATCTGCTGGATGACATCAAGGACCTGGCTGAGGGCTGGAGAGATGACTCAGTGGTTAAGAGCACTGGCTGCTCTTCCAGAGGACCTGGGTTCAATTCCCAGCACCTACATGGCCACTCACAACTGTCTGTAACTCCAGTTCCAGGGATCTCCTCACACAGACAAACATGCAGGCAAAACACCAGGGCACACAAAATAAAAAGAAAAAACAAAAACAAAACAAAATAATTGACTGCCAGGCATGGTGGTGCACCCCTTTAATCCCAGCACTTAGGAGGCAGAGGCAGGTGGCCAGCCTGGTCTACAGAGTGAGTTCCAGGGCAGGCTCCAAAGCTACACAGAGAAACCCTGTCTTGAAAAAAGAAAGGAAAAAAAAAGGACTTGGCTGAGGTTGGCAATGTGTGTAGTACAGATCCACGTGGCCGGTAGAACTTACAGCCCAGGAGGAGATGGATAGTAGGTGGGACAGAAGGATAACTGTGCAAGGGTGTCAGTATGTCAGAAAGAGTGTGATAGATGTGATCACCTGGGACTCCCAACTTATGTGGAAGGAAGTTAAAATGAAAAAGAATTAATGAAAAGGGCAAAGTAGAGGGACATGGACTAGAAATTTCTAGTTTGGGAGGGAGGCAGAAGAGGAGAGGACAGAGATCAAATGTCTAAAGTTATAAATAACTACTTGTGGAAGTTGTCTGTGGAGATGTAGAGATTGTGGGGGTGGAGAGCTGAAGAGGCTTGGAATGGAAAGCCTCTGAAGATGACAGTGGTTGTGAGCAGTCAGTGACTGGAGATGAGGGCTGGGATAATAGGTATCACATCTTACCTGTTTCCCATTCCATTCTACGGTAGTGCCAGAGGCTCACCAGGTGTACCAAACAGAAGGTGAAGGAACATTCTATCTAAATCACTCAAGTCTCAAATACTAATATCCCAAGGCTCCATCCACATTTGAAAAGATCTTATTTTGTTTATTTGATTTTGATTTTAAGATAGTGTCTCAGATAGCCTGGGCTGGCTTCAAACTCACCAGGAATGATTGTGAGCTTGACTCTCCAGAGTGCTGGAACTGCAGGTGTTCATGTGCTGGGGTAGAGCCCAAGGCTTCACTCATGAATGCTAGGCACACACTTTCCCACATGAGTCACACTCCAGCTTGGATTTTTCTATGTTGTTTTGTTTTATTTTGTTTTTGCTTTTCCAGACAAGGTTTCTCTGTGTAACAGAGTGACTGTCCTGAACTTGCTGTCTTCCAAGTGCTTATTTATTTATGTGTATGAATGCTTTGCCTGCATATGTGTATGTGCACTGCATGCCTGTCTGGTGCCTGTGACTGTCAGGAAAGGGTATTGAATCCTTTGGAACTAGAGTTACAGAAGGTTGTGTGTTGTGGAATATTACTTTAACTATGTAAAGGTGTGTTGCATTTGTTTAACAATGTAAAGATGTGTTACATTTGTTTATGCTGCATTTATTTATGTAAAGATGTGTTGCTGGTTTACCTCACCTGCCTAAGGCACCTGATTGGTCTAATAAAAAGCTGAATGGCCAATAGCTAGGCAGTAGAGAAATAGGGTGGGCTGGTGGGCAGAGAGAATAAGTAGGAGGAGGAATTTAGACTCGAGAGAGGGAGAGGAGAGAGAATGATGGAGAAAGAGAGGGAGATGCCCAGGACTAGAAGCCAGGCAGCCTCCATCCAGAGAGACACAGAGTAGGACATACAGAATAAAAGCAGAATAAAAGAAAGTTAAAAAGCCCCAAGGCAAAACGTAGATGAAGAGAAATGGTTAAAATAAGTTATAAGAGCTAGTGGGACAAATGTAAGATAAGGCCCAGCACTCATAACTAATAATAAGTCTCTGTGTCATGTTTTGGGAGCTGGTTGGTGGCCCAAAAGGAAGGCTGCTACAGTGGGTAGCGGGAGTCAAGCCCCAGGTCCTCTGCAAGAGTAATAAGTGCTCTAAACTCCTGAGCCAACTCTCTAGCCCCACTGGTTTTTTTGTTTGTTTTTTTAAGTAGGGACTCAAACTGTAGTCAAGCTGGCCTAGAATTCACTATTTCCCTCAGGCTAGCCTCAAATTCATGGCAATGCTCCTGCACCAGCCACCTGAATACCGATAATACAGGTGTGAGCCACTACACTGGCTAAATCCAGAATTTTAGAGGTCTAGCATCAAAGTTTCTCTAGACAGAGCAAACAGTGGACAGGGTGTCAGTCTCCTTTATCTACCAGTTTTTCTCTGTGAATGTTATGACCCAGCCTTGCTGGGGCTTGTTACAGACCAGCCCTGACTCAGTGTGGGAGGGACTATGGCAGGACTTGAATACCAGGAATGCCCAGAGGCTATCTTAGACTATCACAAGTCTTCCTCTGTTCATTTTGTAATTTGTCTGTGGTTACATAAGCCCGGTTTCCATTTCCACCCACAAGAAAAATGCCTTTTAGAAGTCTTCACTCAGCTCAGCTCTCTCCATGGACCTGCAACCTGTCTATCCAGCTGCTGTGTTTGCACCTGTACTAGGCTTCTCCATAATGACAGAACTGCTAAGGCTGTTTCTGTCTATATGAGGATTTATTAGGAGAATGAGTTCACATGGTGATGGAGGCTGAGAACCAGAGGAGCCACTTGTGGGGTTCACTGACTTGCACTTGGTCTCAGAATCAGGAAAGCTAACTCTGGGAATGTGGCTCAGTGGACAGAGCTCTTGTCTAGCAGGCAGGAAGCCCTGGGTTAGAGCTCCAGGGCCACACGGACTGGTTGTGGAGGCACACTTCTGTAATCCCAGCACACAGGAAATGGAGGCAGGAGGATCAAGTTCAGAGTCACAGTCAGATATATAGTGAGTTCAAGGTCAGTTTGACATACATAAGGCCCCTTCTCAAAAAATAAAAATGAAGTATCAGTAAAGCTGACGGTGAAACTTAGTGAGAAGTCGAGGTCCTGAGAACCAGGAAGTGGGGAGTCACTGATTCACATTCTAAGACCAAATGGCAGGAGAGCTTGGAGTTCTGATGCCTAGGGCAGAAAATAGGGCTGATCCCGGGTTTTGTAGTTCAAGCATTCTACAGGGTTACATCCTCAGCCACACAGTACTGCACACAAGCAAAAGTCTCTGAAGCACACCAGCTCTCCTTTGCCCAACCTGCTGCTACATGGGGGAAGCTTTCCCTGAGCCCCAAGTCCAAGCCGAATGCTCCTGTAAATTCTCTTTAGAATCCATACTTCTTTGAAGCATGACTCATGATTAGACTCTGCTTTCCTGCCTGGTGCTCAACCCTACCCTCTACTCTAGACATGGTCTCTGGAGTAAGGAGTTCCTTGATGTGTTCACACTGACCGGCACACTCTGCGGTGCTCAGCATGTGTCAAAACAGCAGGGGCCTAACTTTGCTACCCTATTCCCCCTCCAGCCTCACAGCGAGGGTGTGTCGCTTGGGGATCGGACTTTGGCACCTCCTCCAGGCTGGCAGGAGGGACGTGCTCTTCGGATCCTCTATCTCGGGCCTCTAGCCCAGCTGGGTAGCCTGCAAGAACCCACGCCCAGGGAGTGTCACTCCAGTCACGCGGGGCCTGGACGTCTCTGGAGAACAGTCCTGTCCGCTCCCGGCCAGGCATCGAGGAGACATCGGAGCCTCTTCACACCGCTCGAGGTGAGATTCCCGCGTGGGCGGCTGTGGGGGAAGCAAGCGGGTGCCAGCCCTTTAAGATTCACGCAATTCCCAAGTCTGAACAACAGGACTGCGGAGACGCACCACGATTGGTCTGTTTGGGTGTGAGCGTCGCTTAGCAGCAGCGAATGAGAGTTCAAGGTGTGCGCAAGCGCACTGTATCCTACCTCCTGCAACCCGGCCGCCGGTGACCTGCACCCGGCCGCCGGGTGGGCTGCGGTGGCCGAGGCGGAGGTCGGCCGCGGGGCGAGGTGAGGCTGGCGGGCCAAGAGGGCGTGGAGAGGCGGGGTCGGGGTTCAGGCCACCTGGGACTTCCCGAGGCCGGGCCCCCTGCACCGCGCCTACCTGCTGGGATGCGCAGCCCACTGAACCTGCGGCCCGGGGCGGGGCCGGGGCGTGTCTCGGGAGGGGCGGGGTGGCGATTCCCTTTTGGTAAGCTGAGCTCTAGTCCTGGCTCTTGCTTCTTTTGATAGCAGACTTGGTTTCTTCAAGGCCTGGTCACCCCTGCACCGACTGTCCTGGACTTGGGTACCCCAGGACAAAGGACCCACAGAGCAGGACGGGCGTCTAGCTTGCACAAAGCCAAAGCCACGGAAGGAAGAGAGCTGCCACTGATGAAAGGAGTTGGTGCAGTTTGTGGTTTTGTGAGGCAGGGTCCCACGTAACCCGAGTTTGGCCTTGAGCTTGGGATCCTCCTGCCTCCAGCTCCCAAGCTCTGGGATCACAGGTGTGTGACTTCCATGCCCAACTTAGTTGGTGTGATTGGTGATAAGGTCAGAAAAACAAAAGCAACACAGAACAGCACCAGTGGGTAGGGGAAATGTCTGTAACAGTCTACAGAAAGTTTCTCCAGGTGAAGAGCACTTTAGGGAAATGAAAGTGGGGACAGTTTTAAGCGGTTTGACACTGATAAGCAGGATTCAGTTGCACAGTAGCTTCCTCAGGAAGACGGTTGTACCAATTAATGTAGACACTACTTAATGTTTTACAGACAACAGAGAGGACATCTTGAGGTCCCATAAAGAATTTAAGATCAAGCCAAGGGTGGCGTACACCTTTAATTCCAGCATGTGGGAGGCAGAGAGAAGCGATCTCTGTGTGTTTGAGACCAGCCTGGTCTACAGAGCGACAGCCAGGGTTACACAGTGAAACCCTGTCTCTAAAAGCCAAAACAAAAAAACACAAAGCAAAACAACAACAAAAGGGATTTCAGATCAACTATGCCCAAAATGTGCTTGGCCAGGCAAGACAACTGACGTTAGAGCATAATACAGTAAGGACAGGTGGTTTTGTTTTGTTTTAGAGACAGGGTCTCACTGTGTAGCCCTGGCTAGTCTTGAGATCTGCTTGCCTCTTCCTCTCAAGTGCTGGGATTAAAGGCGTGCGCTGCTGAGCTACTGAGCTATATCTCTGCAGCTCACCCACCTACTTTGTTCTCTTTTAGACAAAGTGTCATGTAGCCTAAACTGGCCTTGAACATGTCACTTAGCTGGGGGTGACTTTGAACTCCTGACCTTCCTGCCTAAGCTCCCCAAGTACTGGTATGACCATAAACCACCATACCCAGCTTCTTAAGGGGCAGATGTAACAGGTGTCACCTTGGGCCTCCTTCGCTACCAAGAAGTCTCTGGATTTTTTTTCTTTCAAGCAGAGTCTCACTATATCCTCAGCTGCCTTGGGATTGCAGGTTTGAGCCCCACACCCGGCTTCTGGTTAGCTGTTTGCAGTACTGCTCTGGAGAAGGAAGTCTTTAGAGAAAGAGTAGCTGTGATTCTAAAGGTTTGGTTTGGAGGTCCTCGTGCCGTGGAAAGAATGCAGGAGTCTGGGATAGAAGCCTAGCTTTACCTCCCAATCCACAGGAGAAGCAGTTTCTTCTCCTGTGTAGTGGACCAGAGGAAGCTCTGAGCGCTTGCTAGCATTATCCATACGAAGGTCCCAGTCCCTCTGCATCCTCGGGAGGTTGGGCTCAGTCCATCGTATGCAGTGGCTTAGTGTTTGTGAATAATATGTGCATATTCTCTTGTATGCTTCAGATAATATAGTCATTAATTATAACGTCTTGTGCTTTATATGTGGTTGCTACATGGCGTTGTTTAGGACATGATAAACCTATACATGTTCAATACAGATGCAGTTTTTTCTTTTCTTTTTTTTTTTTTTTTTGGTTTTTCGAGACAGGGTTTCTCTGTGTAGCTTTGCGCCTTTCCTGGAACTCGCTTTGGAGACCAGGCTGGCCTCGAACTCACAGAGATCCTCCTGGCTCTGCCTCCCGAGTGCTGGGATTAAAGGCGTGCGCCACCACCGCCCGGCCTCTTTTTTTTTTTTTTTTAATATTTTCCATCAGAGGTTGGATGAATCTTCAGGTGCAGTACCCACGAATACAGAGGGTGGGTTGGACTGCTTCTCAGCCTTTGGGCTGAGATCAAGTGTAGAAGGACAGCTGTGATGTTACCCACATCCTATCCAGTTCAGCTTCCTTCAGTTTTCAGTTCCCTTAAAGATGGTGTGGTTGATCTCTGTGTCCCTCTCTACGTCATCCCCAGGCAACTTGGAGCCTAGAGGATCTCAAGTTAGGTAATCACGTCTCAGATCATGTGGCTGAGAGTGAATCCATCCAGGGTTCCCTGCTCCCTTAGCATGCTTTCCTCAGGAGTACTGTGCCTGTGGTGGGTGCTTATACTTGACTAAGTGTTTGTGTGCTGAATTTGGCTCATTTTGCTAGTTGACACTTGGTTTTTTGCCCCTCCCCCATGCCTGCATGTTAGGGGGATTTGAGGGAAGCTATAGCGTAAAATGACAATCACAGAGTGGCTTCTGGTATAGGCACAAAGTCTATGGAAAGAACAGGGATAATCTGGTGTTTGGCAGTTGCCAACACGGTAAAGGGAATTTAGGGAGTTGGGAAGTGGATTAAGATATGCCATATAAACCTGCGGTTGTGGCCCACATCTTTAATCCCAGCACTCAGGAGGCAGAGGCCACACTTGTCTACAGAGTAAATTCCAGGACAGCCAGGGCTACACAGAGAAACCCTGTCTCGAGAGAAAAAAAATGTGTTACATAAAACATGAACAGGGACCTTTTGATTATCACCCATGCTTCTACTCACACAGAATGCCGTCCGTAGAAACGTTCCTTGTTCTTTCTCCAAGAGAATTACTGTGTGAGAATGCTCAAAATATGGTTCAGAAGTATGGCTGCATACCCACATTTCTTGTTTCCGTGAACAGAAAACTCGGTTCCTCATCCATCTGCTCAGCAGTTCTTTTAAAAAATATTTATATTGTTTGATTGTTTTTTTGAGATAGGGTTGCTCTGTGTAGCCCTGGCTGTCCTGCTCACTCTGAAGCCCAGGCTGGCCTCGAACTCAAAGATCTGCCTACCTCTGCCTCCTGAGTGCTGGGATTAAAGGCGTGTGCCACCATGCCTGGCTTATTGCTACCTTCTTTATCTAATAGTATGTTGTGGTGTGAGTCTCCTGTGGCGTGTTTAGCTGTTCATCTGTGGGCCATGTTCAGTTCTAGTTTTTGGTTAGTGAAAACAAAGATGTAAGGAGCAGCTGTACACAGTCCTGTGTGGTCATCCTTAGCCTGTTCTGGGATGAGATCCAGGAGTGGCATTGTAGTGCCCATATTTTATTCTGAATGTGGGTAATTTGTCTTTTCTTTTTCTAACTTAGTTACATTGGTTTCTACTCTATTCTGTCCTACCTTCTGCCTGGACTTTTAAAAATATATTTTTATTTTATTTTATTTTTTGAGACAGTGTCTTACTGTGTACCAGTGGCTGTCTTGAAACTTGCTATGTAGACCAAGATGGCCTTGAACTCGTGGAGATGCCCTTGCCCCCAGTGATGAGATTAAAGGTGTGAGCCACCATGCCCATCATGTTTTTTAGTTTATAATATTTCTGTGTTTATCTTTATATAGTTTTTTCCATTAGTTGAGCTATGAGCAGGCTTTTACCCATGAGTTGTGTGTGTGTGTGTGTGTGTGTGTGTGTGTGTGTATTTAGAGAGAGAAATTGTCACAGTCTCCTGATAAAAGCATTTTATTATTTCAAGTTAAATGTAGAAACTTTTCTGTGACTCTTCACTCTTGCATATTTATGGGTGTCCTTTTTTTTTTTGGTTTTTCGAGACAGGGTTTCTCTGTGTAGCTTTGTGCCTTTCCTGGATCTCGCTTTGTAGACCAGGCTGGCCTCGAACTCACAAAGATCTGCCTGACTCTGCCTCCCGAGTGCTGGGATTAAAGGCGTGCGCCACCACCGCCGGGCTATGCGTGTCCTTTTTAAAGAATTTTTCTGTTTTTATGTTCATTGGTGTTTTGTTTGCGTGTATGTCTGTGTGAGAGTGTCAGATCCCCTGGAACTGGAGTTATAGACAATTATGAGTTGCCATGTGGGTGCTGGGAATTGAACCCGGGTCCTCTGGAAGAGCAGCCAGTGCTCTTAACCACTGAGCCATCTTTCCAGCCCCAATTATGATTGTCTTGTATGTTTCCTTTGCATACAGGACACAGCCATCAGGCCTGCTTTACAAAGTTCAGTGGGAGAATGGTCTTTTATGTTTCCCATGGTTTTATTCTTTTATTTCCTTCTGCTCCAAAGTTCCTGCTTTTACAGTTTCCATTTTGCTAAGTGAACTTTCTTTAGCAGTTTATGATAGTGGCACATTCTTTAGGTATTCCTTTAAGCATGCTCTGATTTTTCCCTTCATTCTTTTCATTTTAGATTATTAATTGTGTGTGTGTGTGTGTGTGTGTGTGTGTGTGTGTGTGTGTGTGTGTGTGTAGGTGTGTGCACATGAGGACAGTACCTGAAGAAACCAGAAGAGGGCTTATATCACCTGGAACTGGAGTTATAATGGTTGTAAGCCACCATGTGGGTGCTGGGAATTGAACCCGGGTCCTCTGTAAGAGCAGCCAGTGCTCTAAACACAAGTCATCTCTCCAGCCTCCAGACTAGTCTTTAATGCAAGGCTTTCCTAGCTTTCGAGGCTGCACCACTCCTGATTCTGAGTCAAGGAAGCAGGTTTTGTTGCAGTGATGGGATGTGTTACCTGTGTCCGCTCCTCATTGGCTGCTGTTAGTGCTGGTTCCTCCAGCACTAGGGCTGAGATCTGAGACACAGAAGGGTCCGTGACCCTCCCATTTGCTCTCTTGCCTCCTTTTAGAACCTCTTTGTGATTGTTCTATAGCTGAGGTCCAGGGTTTTTTTGCACTTAGTAGGACCTGAGAAAGCCCTACTCTGCACTTCCAGGAACAGAGCAGCCACATCTCCTCTTGATCTCCCATTTTTCTCTTCCGAGTTTTGGAGGCAGTGTCTCACTTTGTATCCCAAGCTGGCTTTGAACTCAGGGTCCTCCTCCTTCAAGCCACTGGAGAGCAGGGGCAACAGGCCTCCAGGCATGCCCTCTTATTCAGTATAGATTGGCCTCACGATAGCTCATGGCCCCCAAGTTCACAAACATAAATCCCCACAAAGGTCAGCCCTCCCTTTATTACAAACTCTTTCCATCTTTTGAAGCATGTAGTTCTTTGCTTGCTGTGCTGGAGGTTAGCCCCAGGGACCTTGTGCTTACGACATGAATGTGCTACCACTGAGCTACGTCTTCCCCACCCCAGGGTGCATGTTATTAAAGGAAAATGGTGTTAAAAGCACTGTCTCCATTTTTTAAATTCTTCCTCAGCTGGTGTTAAGTCCCTCAACCCCTCAGGCAGCTGCCATCTCCGTCATGCAGAGGTGACATATTCACAATGCCACCTTTATTCAAGATATTTGAAGGATTCTAAGGTTTCCGTTCTTGGCAGCTCTCATATACCTGGACAGAGCTGAAGTCAGAACTTTTGTTTACCTTATTGAGGAAAAGCAGGTTTGGTCAGTAAAGTCTTATGGGTGAAGTTGAGGTCTTCTGGGTCCTTCTGAGAGTGGCCACACTGGTTCTCAGGATTATTGTCCCCTGGAAATGGCACCTATTTCCTCCATGCAGCCTTAGCAGGCAACTAACATATGGTAGTTTTTGTTTTTCGTTTTTTGTATTTTTCTCATTTTTCAAGACAGGGTTTCCCTGTGTAGCCATGGTATGGCTGCCCTAGAACTCGCTCTGTAGACCAGTGTGGCCTCAAACTCACAGAGATCCACCTGCCTCTGCCTCCTGAGTGCTGGGATTAAAGGTGTGTGTCACCACTGTCTGGCTGGTAGATGTTTTACACTGGGGTGCCTAGGGCTTGTCTTAACTCTTCTGGCATAGTTTTGATTTGTTTTTTCATTTTATTTTTTTTCTTCATGCCAGGTAAGGCCATACTGACCATATGAGGCCCTTGTTTGGAATTAGTGTTTTGAACCCCAGGCCTGTTCTGTTCTCAGACTGATCCTGTGTTCTTCCTCTGTTTCAGTTAGGACATTGTAAAAATGTTTTTAAAAATCAACATTGCAAACACAAAAGTGTTTGACCTCCATGCCCAGTGCCCTTCCTCACTGGGGTTGGTCTCAGCATTAGCCATGTAAGGTTACAA